CCCAGTTAGTACCTTTACAGCTACCAGTCCTGGCGAGAGATGTCGCTTAACAATGTTTCACTTAAAGTTAAAATAAAGATTTCTTTAAAACTATACCTAATATAGACAGATAAGTAAACTTAACACAAACAATATTTTAGACTCATAAAGATTCTTAATAATTTTAGGAACAAAAAAAACTAAAATCACTAACTTGTAAGAAATCAGATCAGACTTATCATATCTTAATGTATCATTATGATCACTCGGCTCGACTACGACTACGACTATTACGCTTACGATACGAACGGTCCAAATTAGCATCTTATAGTCTGTGGGTAAAAAGTACAAAGAGTCAAGTTTGACGTGCTTTTGTCTGTACACAAACAGCGACGATACAGAATTTATAAAAAAAGTATCGATTTTTTTATTTGAGAAGATGTATTTACACATCGATATTTTTATAAGCTTATTGACAAGTCTGTAGTCATGTCATCTTCTTATCAATTTACTGATTGATTGTTTAGATTACATTGGCTATGACGCCTTTGCAAAGGATGCGACAAGAATTGGCGTATGCAAATACTGTAAGTGCTTCCCCAGAGATCTGCTCGCCATGACCAAACCCCAAATGCTAGCCTCCTGGTCGGTCCTTTGGCAGGAATCACGACAAACTGTTGGTAGACACTATGGTAACCTCCAACCAAATCTACCCACTAAACCCTGGTTTTTTAAACGTCGCGATTTGCCTAATAACATCACTTCCACTATTATTCGTTTGCGCTTAGGCCATGTTTGCACACCTGTATTTTTGCGTAAAATCAGAGTTCGAGATCACTCTCTGTGCGAGTGCGGCCTAGAAGACGGTACCTTGGAACACATTTTTTTCAATTGTCCTAATATTGCTGTTCCACTTTATAACTTACTTTCTCCAAAATTCCCCCGCCCCATTAACATAAACAACCTCTTAACTTTAGTGTTCTCCCCCCATATTGTTACTCTATGTAAATTTATCCACTTAAATAACATATATTTATAAATGTTGTTTTGTTGTTTCGTTTTACATTCTCAACTGAGTACTTAGTCCAACTTACCAACACCGGTTAATGTCCTATTAGAGCTTAGCGAATTTTTTTTTTGTTTCGTTTTTTTTTCTTTCAACTGTGAAATTGGCAAAATCATCACTTCTCATAATAATGGAGCCATAAAAATAAAAAGTGAAGTGAAGGCTATGAATAGAGATATTCAGGCAAAATGCTTTAAAATAAAAATGTTTATGTGATTTAATGTGTGAATTACCAAGCAATGTGTATTTTTGAGCTGAGTGAATAGTTTTTGATTCAATATGAGTAACATTTACATTCAAGAACCGCCTGCTTTGGGCAAGGTAAAACATTTACTATTTTTGTCTAATAACTACCGTGTTTTGCCAATAAAAGTGAACGTTTAAGTTTTTAAAAGCTTACACAAAAACTTGTTTTTAATATTCTTAGTAGTGGTTCCTAATAAAGGTTTTATTAGGAAGCGCAAATAACAAGAAACACACCACATAATATTGAGGTTGTTTTCGTAATATTTGCAATATGAACTAATAATCGCTTCACTATTGTTTAAGTACGTTATTATATTCGTAAAGTGGAGGTAGGGCCTTCTCTGTACTAACTTTATATGGCGATATGGCAGTGCAAACTTGTTCCCTGAACAGTACAACTAAGGCCTTTTCCAAGTGGAGAGAGAATAGGCATTATTTAGGTGTGCATACTCCGTTGTCGAACTCATCGTTACTTTCCATAAGTACCATTTTCCACTAAGCAACTTAACACAGTTTGCTGTCCACGCGACTCTGTTTTACTTCAGAGTCCCAGCTGCGTCAATGGTATTATGAGTTATTTGGAAAGAGTCGTACTCTGCCGTCTGCCTACGACTAGCCGTATAGTGAAAGATATGTGTAAGATGTGTAGGTCAAATGTGCACTTCAAAAAAAGACGAATTCCCTCTTCAAACAGGGAACCTCAATCATAATCATTCATTAAGGCTCAATTTACATTGCCGTAGTACAGAATGGAAGTGGATTTTTATAGCCAAAGTATAATGAACTTTGTGGCAATTACGTATTGTTATTACAAGGTAGACTTTATTCAGGGCCCAGCAGGGTTTATTATAAAGCCCAATTTTTTGAAAAAATCCTAACTAATCATCCAGTTTAACTATATTTTTGCGTAAAACATAGTAATGTAAAATGTGTCACCACTAGAGTGGTGGATGTCACAGAAATAAATATTTAGTGAAGAGGAACAGTCAAAGATTTTTGTTTAAGTTTTTTTTTTATTTGTTTTTGTTTAAGTATTATAATAATGATATTGATTTCTCAGATCCTAGTCTTTAAAATATAATTGTCAGATTTTATGATGATTTCTGTAAAAGAAAATAAAATTACACACTTGATTAAATCACTGATTTTTATTGAAAAAATAATTTGATTTAAATCACTATTTAAATCAAAATTATTTAATCGTGCCAACCTTGCAGTTCGGAGCTAGGACATGAAGAATTGTCCTGGCTCTAACAGTTTTTACCTCGCCCACCTCAAGACAGACTCTGCAGTGTTTAGCATTGTAAGAAGCTATCAGGGCTTTTGAATATTCAAGATCCTTGGTATGCAGTCATATGTCTCAGAGGGTCTACTCCCTTTCTCCATCTGACAGTGCCTCTCAACTTTGTGAATTAAGGCTAATAAGGCTGACTAGCAGCCGTCTCATCACTTGATATCATAAAAAATAAATATTAAATATACAAATTAATTAACTTTCAGGTGTTACTGAAAACAAGTGGTGGAGAAATCGATATAGAATTATGGACAAAAGAGGCCCCAAAAGCTTGCAGGAACTTTATCCAGTTGTGTATGGAAGGATATTACAATGGTAAGTATGAAATAACATAAATTATACCTTACATCCAGAGATAGGATAGGAGAGTGTTTGCGTAAACTTCAAGAAAATGATACATATAGACTAATATATAGCTAATACCTCCTGGAAATTCCAAGATTTCAGATTCTAGGCTGGTTTGTTCTATTTTGTTGAAATGTAACTTTTTCTTTTTATATATATGTAAGTGCGCATTTGACCACCATCTCACCTGATGGAAAGTGACGATGAGGTTGATGGAGCATGCACACCTCACCTATTCACTCTCGCCTTAACTGTAACTGTTTAAAAGGAAGTGCGGATCAGCAGTTTCCTACGCCAATATGGGCAACTGTTCTACAATACATAACTGAATAATTGAAGCCGTTAGTAACATCTCAGAAACTTGCATCAAGAATCCCTAGAGTCTAAATCATTTATCATTTCAGTTCAATGTTAGTTTTGTTTCTAGGTACTATATTCCACAGAGTGGTGCCTGGTTTTATAGTGCAAGGTGGTGACCCGAATGGTGATGGCACTGGCGGAGATTCTATCTATGGTGTACCATTCAAGGTAACAACATCTCAATTGAAGCTGAAAGAATTCGCATAATACTCTTGTTTTTTTATTTCTATCATTATTATTATAGCCTTTATAAGCTGAGTTCTTTATTTCACTAGCCTCACCCTAAAGCCTGCAAAGAGCCCAGAATGTTGAATTCTGTGAAGAAACAAATATACGCGATTTAAATTCGAAGAAACAGTTTCATTTTCACTATTATTGTGATTTTATATCACAGTATTGAATTAACGAATTATAATCTGCTTCATGTAGCAGTACAGCTCTTGTGAAAGAGTTCGTCCAGGGTAGGCAGGCCTTACCTATTTCTACCGCCAAGCTGTAATGTCAGCATTACTATGTTCCGATTTTGAAGGGTAAGGGTGCTGGTGAAATTACAGGCACATGGGACTTGTCAACTTATGTCTCAGAGTGACGGGCGCAGTGGCAGTGCCCCTCAGATTTTAAAAGCTTAGAGTGGCACTGCAACTGTTATGAACAGGCGTGTAGCTTACCATCAGGTGCACGACTTGTTCGTCCCGTCATTGATGTTATAAAAAAAAATTTACAAATTATCCAGGATGAGTTCCACTCTCGCCTTCGATTCAATCGTCGCGGTTTGGTGGCAATGGCAAACGCAGGCAAAGATGACAACGGGTCACAATTCTTCTTCACTCTAGCTGCCACTCCTGAGCTGCAGAACAAGCACACCATCTTTGGAAAGGTCACTGGTGAGTATAGCTGAATACATGTAATTATATTGGCATTATATAGAAATGGTAAATAATCTTTTCACTTCTCATGCTCTTAAAGTTCGTATTTATGCTGGGTGTAGGCTGCATAAAATAGGATTTTATGCTCTAGTGCATAAAAATCACATTAAATATGTCTAATTGTTGTAATTTTACATTCAATTTTAATGAAATAATCGTTTATTAATAACATTGCTGTTTAATTTCTTCGCAATCGAAGTGAAAAGCAGAGTGTATAACTCGGTCATAAAACCCATTTTACCTCGACTTAAGTATCCTCGTCTCGGGTACAATGACGCGTTTTATGCACTTGTTGTATGCTATTTCATCACACTTGCTTGTAAACATTGCCATAACATGCAAATTCGGCTGTAATGTGTTGAATTACGCCCATGGGCTTCTTCATTATGGCGGTAATGGATTAAAAAAAAAATTATTGCACTTCTCTTATAAGTTAGTTTAAGCAAATAGTTTAATGCTCGAAAAATTTGAATTATTTCATATAACCTTGAAGTATAGAAACAAAAACTAAATATTTGCTAAATTGATTTTATAAATTCAAATTTTGCAGCAGACGATGTGGGTTACATTTTTCTGTGTCTGATGGAACAATAAACATGTTTGACGTAATTCCAGTTATGCCACTTTTCCATGAGGGATGCGGTATTTTGAAATTATTTGTTTTATACCTTTATTGTCGTGGCTGTATGCATTTTTGTCTTTTTAGTTGGAAGAATAGCTGGCCATCTGTTTATACAAAAAAAAAAATCCGCCAAATGGCAAAATCTGTAATCGTTGTGTTGTGAAGCGATATTTATTCATACAAGAATTAAACTACGATTGTATTTATTTCTTCGCGAATGTGATGAAAATCGTTGTATGTAGCACGGGCGGTAAAAAATTCCAAACTCGAGTTATTGAAGCCATCAGTCTTCGGCTTCGGGCTTCTAATAGACTTAATTGTTAACTAATGCCATGGAATTTGATATTCAAAAGGTGTCATTTATGAGGTTTAAAACTATAGTTATATAGTATCGTCTATTGCGTATTCTATAGATAACAAGAATACTGATGCGAGTGAAAGTGAAAGCGGTATACCGGGAAAGTTGCTAGTCTCAGCTTATCCCAGCGGAAGACGGATGTTAATTAAAATGTCATTGTTTTCAGGCGAAACAATTTACAACGTCCTCAAATTAGCCGAGGGTTTAATAGGACCAGATGATCGTCCAGACCATCCTCACAAAATAACAAGTACCACTGTACTTATTAACCCGTTCACTGATATTGTGCCAAGAGTGGCTGAGAGGGTTGCTGAAGAGCCTGTTAAGAAAAAGAAGAAAGAACGGCAGGGTGTTAAGTAAGTGTTTACACATAGAAAGAAAGAAAGAAAGAAAGAAACGTTTATTCAGCAAGCATCACACATTGCCAGTATACAAAGAGTTACAGTTACGAGCTGAAATGGATCCAAACTCAGCATATGTCACAGCTCAATTGCTGTAACGCTGGTTTTCAGTTGGAACCATTTTGAAGGATGAGATCACATGGTTTTTAATTAACAATTCTGATACACTCACGCAATGACGTACACGCACAGACACAGACGCACACGCACAGAAACAGTAGCACACGCACTGACACACTCTCAACTCATTACCACCTTCTTTATTATAATATGTATAACGTGATTGCTTTTATAAAAAAAAATCTAAATTTTAATCTACGCAATATATTTATTTAAGTAAATATATATTAAATTAAAGTAAAAATAATATAAAATCAATGTTTATTTGTTCTTACAAATAAACGTTGATTTTATATTATGATGAGCGGAAAATTTTTTTTCCAAAAATTCATTCATTTTTAACAACAACACGCAAAGGTTACTTAATTATGCTTCATTTGCTAGAGATGAGGTATATCGATAAAAACTTTTCGAGAATTTAAAAATAAATGTAAGTATTGGGCGGCTATTCATTCTTAAAGTATGAATTTTAATCATAGGCAATGAATTAACATGTCACTGTTATTACTTTTTTGAAACCTATATTTTATGTATTCTATACTGAAAATTTCTAAAATATTTATTGAAATAAATCGCTCGCTCGCTCGATCCGGCAAACTAAGTGTGATTGCAGGACGCGACACGCGTCGCCCGACCGCTTTCTCTTCTTAAATAAAGCCAGTGGGACGTATAATGAGTTGATAATGAATCGATTGTTTCTTGTAGAAATTTCGGTCTGCTGTCATTCGGTGAAGAAGCGGAAGAAGACGAGGGTGAAGCCCTGGAATACAGATCCAAACCAAAATCATCACACGACCTGCTGGAAGATCCTAGGCTTAGTAAAAAGACTGCTGCAGGTATGTTTATTGTTAAAAAGTATGGATTGTGATTGAAATTGAAATTTTTGTTGTTTTTTTTAAACAAATCAACGCGTACGTTTCTGGCTTGGCACCCACTGGCTGGATGGCTCGGCAGGGGATCCTTCGGCATTTCTACATGCTAGCGCACACTGATGGCAATTATGCCGCGGTATCCCTAGTCTTACGCTAAGATTCGGCATGCTGAAGCATTCCGTCGTGACATCATGCTCGCGCCTGGTCTCACTTCAGATCAGTCTTGCCCATAGATATAGAAAAAAGGGGAAATATGATATGGGGGCGTGGTTCGTGTCGTGAGGTGACGCGCCTACAAACATAGCCACAGTGACTTGGCGATCGTTGTACATACAAGATCTCTCGTAAAACGTGAAAATGCCAAGTTGTAGCGATACACCTTGTAAAAATTGGAGTAAAAACAAAAATTTTAAAACCAGTGAGATAACATTCAACCGGCTATTTGCGTTTTTAGTTACTATTTCTATTATTATTCAATGTTTTATTTTTGTCTCCATAGAAATTTCTATTCTCAAATATAGTGATGTTCATTTACGAAGACTGATGTTTATCGACAATAAATTTTTATTGAAATGTTTGAATTTCTTACTATGATTTTTGTAATTAAAGTCCCTAAAATATCGAAGCGAAAAGCATTCACGTTAAATTGATTTCGTTTATTTTATTATTATTATTATTACTAAACATTTTATTTCGAGTAACTTTAACACAACTCATATTTCGGACAACCTTTTAAATTTCATGTCAATTTGGATTTTGCTGTTGCTTGAAGAAAAATTTATGTGTTTTAGATATTTAAATTCCATTATACTCGTAGATTAAACGTAGAGTATTTTTAATTTTTAAGTTTTTCCAATGAGTTCAAAATAAAAGAAGGTTGGATTGAAGCTGCGGGAAAATCGAAAGATTGGTTTTCTTATTACTATTTCTGACTTTGTTACAATTTTCATAGCAAATGCATTTAAAAAATGAATAAAATAAAATCGGCTTTATTTTACTTGTGCATGCAAAATAAATTAGAAACAATTATAGAAAATTACATAAATCCTTCATAAAAAAACAGCATAACTTAATTTATTAAATTCGTTGATGGTTTGAGTTTACTCTTGACAGTGACAACTTCACCAACCCGTGGTAACGTATAATGGAAAATTGACACTGGCGACATTCGCCATATTTTTTATATTATTCTTATAAAACTGACACCGGTCCAAGCCTAGTGGCCGCCATTAAGAAAATAATAATGATTTATATTAATTTAATAATACACCAGTACCAGTGTATTACAATAATACATAGTATGAAAAATGGAATATTTTTTTAATATTAAAAACAGTCACATGGTTTCCAACTATCGATTAGGTAGGACCACATCACTCGTTGAGTAGCGTCAGTTTAAGGTTAATAAGGTTAACAATTCACGGAGCGGTTTCCATCCGCGCCCGCCGGTGCTGCTAGACAGCGGTTTTATTTCAATACTCACGACCCTGCAAGTTTGTGCGGGCACGAAACCGTTGCGATTGCGGAACGCACCGCGAAGTTAGTGGGAGTTCATTGCAAGTCGCGCGGTTAATAGAGAACTCACCCTGCGTGCGCCTGCACCACATTGCGCCTGAACCGACCGCCAAAGTGTGCGGGCGACGAGCGCAGGTCATCACGTCCTGCGCGGTTCTACTAGTACCCTGCTGCGGCAACCGCGAACAACCGTCACCACTACAGGCGTAAAACGCGCCGTGAAATGTGCTACTAATTGTACATACTTAACTGTTACATTCTACAGATGCCGCGGTTCCGCGGCAGACGCGGGTGAAAACCGCTCCGTGAGTTCTTAGTGTAACGAACAATGAGTTTCAGCGCCATCTAACGTGTATTAGTTAGCTATTATATATTAGTAGTATTTTTACTAAAACGCCACCTATTGGTGAATGGCTGAACCAGGATGAAAAAGTAGATAATAGAGCGTAAAGTTTGAATTGCACACAAGCTATAAAGTGGCGACATCGGCACCCGATCTTACATAGCGTCATTACATATCTCCCCTTTTTTTCTATATCTATGGTCTTGCCTTGCGTGCCTCCACTTGCCCCGCACTGTCGCGCTCGGCCTTCCGAAGCATCCCGAAAGCTCCCGAAGCATTCCTAGCTGCCTAGGCGTTCCGGGGGCTGCCGGCTCGGCATCCCTAATACCGCAACTTTATTTTGCAGCTACGATCATTATCATTGAAGTTGCAACTATAATTTCATAATTTTAATGTATATTGTGACGTTCGTACCCAGGATGTGGTGGAATGAAACAAAGAAATTTGCGCAACAAATAAATAATAAAATATTTAATTTTGATTATAATTGGTGGTTTCGAAAGGCCTAACTCTTGGTTTGATTTGACTATCCGTAGTTCGGTACTCCCCTGGATACGGTAGCGGCTGCGGGGTCTTCCCTATAAGGCAGCGCCGGCGGGTTCTGGAACGTTCTGGGGAACGCCGGGTCAGTGGGTTGTGGTTTCCATCGAAGCCCTAGACAAGTAGGAAGGCTGAAGCGGTGCAGTGCGATCGTAAACGACATCAGCGGCTATTCTGGCCGTGGTACAACACCCCGTGAATAAATGTCCACAGTAAGAATATGATTGAGAACCTCCGCTGATTGTGAACCCCTTTTATTATGTGCGCCTAATATTATACGGAGAAGCCGAAAGCAGTTGGTGTGGGTGTTCATGGAGTTACAGAGTTAAGACAGAATTACTTACATTTTTTTTCTTTTATATAGCAAGTTACAACGAGATATTGGCACTAAAAATAATAATTAGGCAATAAAAGATTGCATTGAAAAATTTTTAAGGCGCATATAAATGCATAAACATGAGGGTGCGGACAAGCACTGACTTAGAATTCGGGCTGGCCAATTGGAGCGCAGTTGTCACAATAAAGATTTGGCGGAATAGTTTTCAATGAAATTAAATGACATTTCGTCTCTAGTTCTGGTTATATACTCGATGGACGTTAACTACAACAATTCCACCGACAATCAACATATAATGTCATATAATAATAATATTATATTATAAAAAATAATAATAAACTCCACAGAACTAGAACAAGAGGAAGAATCCCAAAAAGCAGGACTATCAGACTCTGAAATTCAAAAGAGAAAAGAAGAAACAGCGTCAGCTGTGAACAGCATCAGGGATAAACTCAAAAAGAGAGACAAGAGTGTTGAAAAAGAAGGAGATAGTCCTGAGAGTAAAAGACGAAAGAGTGAAAACGATGAAGACGGCGATGACGGTGAATATTATATTGGAAAGGAGAGAGACATACAAAGGCAGAAAGAGAGGTAAGAGTTTTAAAAAACATGAAAATATCACTAGTTACCGCTAACGTTGACCGGCGTAAAATCGACGTGGCAAAAATTTGTATGTTATGTAAGCAGTGGAGATCCTTGTGAAAGACTTCCTCCAGGGAAGTACTGCCATCTTACCTATTTCCGCCGCCAAGCAGTAGTCTCAGCAGCTGTGTTCCGGTTTTGAAGGGTAAGGGTGCTGGTGAAATTACAGGCACATGACACTTATCAACTTATGTCTCAGGATGACGAGTGCAGTGCCCCTCAGATCTTTGCGATTTGAAGCTCTGAGTGGCACTGCAACTGTTATGGACAGGCGTGTAGCTTACCATCAGGCGCACGACTTGTTCGTCCCGTCACTTGATGTTATACACTCCCGGACACATAAATCGAGCCATCTTGCATTTTTATTTTTCAAGTGTCAGAATAAAATTTGTTTTATTATCATTGAAGAAAGAGTTTTTGCCGATTTCGCAAATTCAAATTTTCAACAAAACCTTTTGCAAATGATGTTTAGTACACCAGTTCAAACTTGAATTAGTTATTGATCAATCAAACATTATTTAAGCTAAGGACATTTAATACTGACAATGCAAATTGGCTCGAAATATGTGTCCGGGAGTATATAAAAAAAGTTGTTATATTTAAATGTAGTATTAGCTTCCTTTACAGACATAATTATTATCTCTAAATAGACGCCGCAGAGCTGACGTTCCCTTCCTCAGTTATGTAATTTTGTAATCAGAATATACATAATTTATATTTTAAAATGAAATATTTTCATTTTCAATGAATTTCGAGAAAACAAAAATGCAAAAGAGTGTATGCTGGGTGATTCGCTATACATGGCGGTTATTACTTGGTGCGGTACGCTTGTGGTTCTTCTTTAGTAGGCCATGAATATCGAACGAACGATACTTTCGTATAATGCATTCTGTTTCGTGGTACGGCCACTTTATCATATTTCTTCTAAGTTTTTTATTCTAGTTTTGTTTATTCTTTTTTTTTTAAAGATTTTTTTATTACAGAGACCGTATTCGCAATGAAATTAAACAACTCAAGAAGGAGATGAAAGGATCTAAACAAGAATCAGAAAAAGACAAGCAAGACATTCCACAGAAAGACAACAAGTTAGAAGAGGACAACGAGATGTACAAACAGTATATAGAAGAGCAGGACAAGTATAGGAAGATGAAGGAGAAGCTACCAAAGAAGGGAGCTGCTAGGTAAATATAATATTAGTTATTTTTTATTTATTACGTTGTCGTATAAGGCAACAGTAGAGAATTTTAAAAACGGTTTCCACTGTGTGCGCTGGATGAGAAGGTCTCAAGATTGATTCCCGATTTGGGAAATGGATCTTTCAAAGTTGGTTCTGGTCTTAGTGAGTGAATTCCGTTGATCTCGTATTCATAGTACAGAGAATTCCCTAGTTTGAGACCAAACAATTGATACGGTTGTCTGTACGGAAGAAAAAAGCAATGGTAGGGCCTTAAGCCTCGATTACTATTAGGGGGTCGATTCAGAACCTTACGGTAACTCAGTTATCGACGATTTCTTTTCATTTTTATTCACAACACCCGGATCGAACGTCAAACTGTCGTATTCGAAACCGAACCGAAATGACGTCACACCCGTTCGATTACTCGAACTTCTCGACCGGCAAAGGCTACAAACGTTATTCAGAACACAGTCATCGAATGAAAGTTACCGAACGTCCTATTGTTTACAAAGCAAGAATGTAATATGGAAATCTCTTATTATTGTGCATTCCTATATTTTATTAAAAATGTATAAAAAGGTTCTTAGGTTTTCGCGATTGTTACACATAGGAAATGAAACTATTTTTCCGGATTTAAATCGCGTATATATGTTTTTTCGAACAAACCGACGTTTCGGGCCCTTTACAGGTCTCATGGTCACAGTTGACTGAGGTGGTCATCAACCAGTTCTGTCTAATATTAATATTAATGCAAACCACCCTATTTTTACCACTATAGTTACAAAAGTTAATAATTAAATAACTTCTTTTTAATTTTACAAAGAAACATTCCAGTTTACGCTACATTACGTTTTACAAATTATTTTATTGAATGAATTTTTATTAAATTCAATTTATTAATAATAGAAATTAGAATAAATTAAAACATATTAATTAGTACTGCAGTTTTATATCTGTTTGGGATTTTTCGTCAGAGGAAATACAGGATTCCAAACTGGTGGTACGGAGAAACCATATTCCCTGTTGAAATTAGGATGTTTTTTAATTTCAATGGCTTCTCGTAGCATCCTGGGTAGATAATGGAGTTCTTTTGCAAGGACCTGGGGTTTGAAGTTTGACAAACCTCAGGTCCTTGCAAGAGAAGTCCGTCTGTCCCAAAAGTTTCATTACCATATTTTCCTGATACATAGATGATGTCGAGATTTTCCTCTTCTCCAAGCGCTTGGGTCTTGTCAATTTTATATCTCAGGTAGTGTTTTCCGCTGCAAGATCAAGACGAGACTAAGACCCAGCCTTGGTATTGGTCTCGGTCTAGCTGCAAGATTCTCGCAAGTCTTGCAATTACCTATCGTTACTTATTGAACTGTCATATTCTATTATTGTTATTCGTTCAGATTTTAGAACAACGCAACAGACAAGTACATTTGGGTACACATTGACATTATAAATAAAATGTCCAACCAAATGGCGAAAAATAAACTTTATCATATTTTTGCGATCATATTGGTTGGTGGTAATTTTAGGTATATACGTTAAACCCGTGTATAAGGTTAATAATACTAGTCAGCGTATGTATTCGGTACAAGGTATGAGACGCTCAAGACAGGCACCGCGCCGCATAGATTTTCCGTTATGTTTGTTGCTACAGTTTTATCACAAGTACGCATTATTTTGTGTGAGAAAAATAAAAAAGTATTTTATTTTTTATCATTATTTATTTAAGAAACTGTAAGCAGACTATACAATGTATATATCGATCGTTCCCTAAACTATAGCTTACATGTCTGGGCGGCGCTGTTGGAGAACCGATGCAACAAAGAGTAATAGTCTTTTTGCCAGTTTCGTGTGGGGATTGCTTAATATACTATTTATAGCACCTAAGGATTTCGGTTGATCTGCATGTCTCTCATCAACGCCGCCCTCTGTTGTTCGTATCGGACACATTCCTGTAACAAATGATATGCATCTTCCACTACTCTACGTGCTATGTGCTCACATATATATATATTGATCTGCTCATACATATATTGCATGAGGAGATCCCGGGTTCGATTGTGAAAATGAACTTTTCTAAATTGGTTCTGGTCTGGGTTTTCTCAGTAGTAGCCCGGAGTAAATGCCGTTGCTCTAGTATTTATACCACAGGGAATTCTCTAGTTAGACCTGAGTCCCCAGTAGAGACCTGATAATTGGTGTGAATATCTGGCATATTATTATAATAAACAACCGACTTTGTTGTTAGAAGATACCATGGTGTCGATACCAAGATTATCATTATTATATCCTAAGTTTAAAACCTACATTGTAAATATTTTAATTGAAAAGTCATATTACAAAATTGCAGGCTTTGTGTTAGATAAAGATGCATGGAAAGGCGACATGGCTGTAGATTCTACACAAATTTAATTCAACGTGAATTCAATAGCATTTAAGTTTATTTAGAGCAATCCCCAAAGTTACTTGCTTGTTCTTCTCGGGGAAGTCAGCATAGTGAACGAGCAGTAGCTTAGCAGTGACGTTTTCAAGTGTAAATTTATTTTACCTGTGGAATAAATGATTATTTGACTTTCACCGATGCTTGAGAGTGTCTATCAATTGATTTGAAATCAAATACAAAAATATTTTTAAAGTCCATGTCTGAGTGTCATTATAAGACTCAGTCTTGTTTTTGCTCTAATCGTGCAGGGTCGGTCTTGGTCTTGCTACAATTAGGTTGCAAGACCAAGACCGATTTTGAGCAACAGTAGCCTCAACGCGACGTCTGAAGTGGCATTGCCACTAAGATCATACGCGATTTAAAACTATGTGGCACTGTCGCTTACCACCAGACGCGTTTGTTCGTTCTGACACTTAATATTATAAAAAAGCATGCCAGATTGTACACGACTTGTTACATTTCCAATTTTAAAGCTTATGTTAAATACTAGAGAAAACTTATTATAAAATCTTTACCTATGACCTATATATCATAAATTTTTACTTTATTTTATTTTTTAAATAAATGCGCATTTCACATCCATTTTACTTGTTGGAAAGTGACGATAAGGTCAAAGATGGAGCATGCTTACTTAAATAATGCCTACTTTTGACTTCAAAAGCCCCTAGTTATACCGTTCAGGAAACAAGTCTGTAGACAGGGAATTCAACACCACACCCATTCGCCATATAAATGTGGAAGCAAAACGCTTCGTGCGAATCCTTGGAATATCCACAACATAGGAGCTGGAAAAATGCCAGATTATCAAAATGCCAAATGCCACAGCCAGGAACTGGTCTTCCTCCTCCTGACGCACGAACTAATGTCCAGTAGTGGACGTCATTCGGCTGAAATAATGATGACCTCAGCCGACGTCTGGTTTTCCGATGATGGAAAGGGGAAAGCCGAATTAAATCGTGCAATTCCCTCGCGTGATATGACATGTAATATAGTTAATACGAACGCATTGTGTACTTATAGCTATTAAATCTTTATGGGTTTGTAAAAAAAAAAACAAAAGCAAATTTTCGTTAATTTTTATACCTTTGAAATAAATGTAATTTCCTTAATGGCGGCCACTAAGCTTGGATCAGGGTTAGTTTTGATTATTGTATTTATTTATTATTCCGTAAAATATAGCTTTTTACCAACTTTAAAAAAAACGAAGAGGTTATGCGTTCAGTTCCGTATTTGTGGACCGACTTAGAAAATTCTTTTTTTTTTAAAGTGTGCACTTTCGAGGTGGTCCCATGTCAGAATCCGCAGAAGGGATCCCATGGAAATCGAGCGAAATCCTCGAATTGTATACGCATGTACTGTGTATTCACCGATTTCTTCGTCAATTGCGGACCTATTTTGAAAATTCTTGTTTTTTAATTTCACGTCAAATTTCAAGAACAAGTGACGGGACACGATCAGTGAAATCGAGACTCTATGTAAAAATATGTCTACTCACCTGTGACATACATATTTAAGTCACTGTTAAGGCCGATTTACATGGAAAGAGTTTATCGCACAATTCATGGCGAGACATCGTAACTACTCTATTATCGCATGCAGTAATAGCCATAATATTATCGTATTATAATGTTTACATACATGCAAGAACTTATGTCATACGAGATTCGCAATTAAGGGCGCGTTCCCATTATGTCGTGACGACAGACAGTCATGCAGTTTAAAGTATCGTGACTTAAATATTTACATGACTGTCAAGACTGTCAAGACAAAGAGAAGAGCTAAAGCGACTGTTGTCTGGCAAATAAAACGTCACGATAAAAATGTGAGGACAGATAATCGCAGTTACTATTGTCGTCACGTTTTATTTATCGTTGTTTATCTGCCAACGACAAGGCGGTCGCCGTGAAATGATAAATTGTCGTCAAGATCCAGCGTACATGGCTGTTGTTCAACGATAAAAAAGTCCACGACACAGTCACGACAGACAGTCGTTGAACGTTAAACGCGCCCTTAAGTACTCCTGCTGAGACTGTTTACGTAATTCCACGAACTTTTGAGGTCGTTTTTTTTTATAAAACAGAGAATTATTTGCACAATATTTTTGTAGCCGTGGTAACCTAATGGTTTGACCTATCGCCACTCAAGCAGAGGCCGTGGATTCGAATCCGGGCTTGCACCTCTGAGTTTCTCAGAATTTATGTTTGAAATTTACCAAGAGCTTTTCGGCGAGTTTCGGAGTTTCGGTTTCGGTTCACAATCCCCGGAAAACGGAAGTCCCTAACCCGCATTGGGTCAAGTAGCGGTCTATGGCCTACATCCAGAGCGAAGAGCAGGAGACTCGTGCTTAGCAATGGGACGTATAAATGGGTTATTGACGCATAACATTTTTAACATTACCGCCAACTCATTTTTCAAGTCGACGAGTTGATTGACTCCATATTTTCGATGTGTCCCGACACAATTTTTTTCCGTCAGACTTTGTCGTGGTAAGTTGTGAAAATAAACATTAATAATATTTCTTAGTGAATTAACTCTAACAGTGTTGTATCAATGGTTTGTGGATTTTA